CTGAGTGCAATCCATCTGGTTTTAGCTAAATACGGGTTCCATGCCACTAGAGTGTCATCCTCACGTTTAGCTAAGCATAACAATAAGCTGTCACACTGATTGAGACGAATATGTAGTTAAGCTATCTTCTTTATACATGTCATGTCTTTGATATTATGAATTCTGTGGAGATTGAATCTTTTTCCAAAAAAAAAAAATAACTGTCAAAATTCAAGAATATGGGAAACTCTTTGACTGGGTACTTCTTTGTAAATCTCTAATCTTTGGATAGAATGTTCCATCCTTTGCAAGTGGATTTTTCTGCTTTGAGAGATGTGTTATCGAGACCTTCGAAAGTATTTCTTCAACTAAATCCAATGAAATTAAGATCAGTGATCTTCGTCATTGTTTCTATATAGAAATTAATTAGGGTTTCTATCTCTTAAGTTTGCCATCTATATTTTCTTTTATAAATAAATGTTTACGATTATAAACTATTTTCCTTTTCCAATTTCGTTTTCTGTAGTTTAAGGGGGTGTTATTTAGAGTCAGTTTTAGTTATTTTTATCGAAATATCTCGAAGATAATTACACTGTTGCTGTTTTTTTTTTCTTTTTACATACATACTAAAAATGAAATATGTTTGGTACTGAATTAGTAAAAGCATTCTTTCCTATAATAATCACTAGGATTTGGACTCCCGCAGTTCGTTACACCTAGATTTGCACCTCTGCGTAGTTCACTTTTTAAAAGAATACACCTCACGGCGTATAGTTTTGCCATTGTGATGCTGCAGCAAGGCAAGATTCAGCAGAGATGATGATGGAGAATAAGCGTATTATGTGTTCTCTTGAAGAAAACAGCATGAAATGACACAAGTCTGATCTTTCTTTCTCTTCCACAGTCTTATTATGATGCTCTCTCAATCTTCAGAATCAGAATTCCTTTGTGGGATTAGTCTCTGACCTAGAAAGTCTTTAGGATCTCCACGGTTATAAACACCCACTACTACGCACGTAATCTAATTCTCTTTTTACTAAGACTAATAGCTTCAAAATCTGTGATCTAGATTCAAGCATCCCTTGTTTGTTTCTGTAAGCAGGATCAGTACTTTCTAAGAGGGTTATGTCTTGTCCTAGTGGAATAAACATTAGGGGTTGCTCAAACCAATGGTGCTGATATCTGGACTCCTATGAAGACTCCAAAGTCTAATTCCCCCTTTCGATGATTGACTCCATCATTGCTCTGTCCCAAATGAAAGATAGCCAAATGGTTGTGTCTGATGATGTATCTATGTAACATATATATTGGTGGAGAGACACAACGAAGGTAAATCAGTGATGGCTCTTTCTGTTAATTTTACTTTCCTAATCTCCCAACTCTGTGGTGGGGTGAATGCATAATCATATCATTACTTGGATTTGTATAATTGGTCTACGTTGATAGTAATGGAAAGTTCGTTATTGGGAAAATAGCTTGAGACAGAATTCAGAAACCGGTTAACGACGGATATATAGTTTACGGTTTATATAGGTTAATGAAGCCAGTTTTGTATGCGGTAGTAGAAGACTGGCTTAGACAAACCCGGTTCAAACCCGATTTGTTTGCGACTCTTAAAACGCCCTTGCTCTTCATAATTTTTTTTTTTAATAATGTCCCATATACATGTAAAACGCGTTTTTGCGGTTTTAACGGGAAAAAGTGTTTTTGCAGTAGCGTTTTTGCGATTTTGGCGAGAAAATGTGTTTTTGCGATTTTGATGAGAAAACGTGTTTTTGCTATTTTGACGGAAAAATGTATTTTTGCGGTTTTGACGGGAAAACACGTTTTTGTTGTTTGGCGGAAAAACGCATTTTTGTGATTTTGGCGGGAAAACTCGTGTTGCGGTTTTGACCGAAAAATGCGTTTTGTGATTTTGAAGGAAAAACGTGTTTTTACGATTTTGGCGGGAACTCTCGTTTTTGTAATTTTGAAATGCGTTTTTACGGTTTTGACGAGAAAACGTGTTTTTACGGTTGGTAGAAAAATGTGATTTTGTCATTTTTTTCTAAGTTACAAAGTAATAATATGTTTAGATTTGTAATTTGTGAATTATATAAAGGGTATAATAGATATTATACAATTTTGGAAGAACCATCTAAATGATCCAAATTGGTCCATCTAGATGGATTTCAAAATTAAACCTAAAATTTGAAAATCATCCAGATGATCCATCTAGATGAATTGTACTTTTAGTGTTTAAACAAATATAATTTTCATGTCCATCAAAATGAGTCATCTGAATGGTGAAACAAACAGACTCCAAGGCGATCCGAACGAATTTCTCAGAACTCTCTTTTCTGTCTAAGAAATTCTTCTTATTGCTCTTATTTCTTTTTCTAGGGCTAAGTTTTTGCATTGACATTGGTCAATATATGTATCCCTAAAGTTTATGTTCTTCTGACGCTGCCATTTTCTAAAGAGGTTTTTAATATTTAGAGTAAGCGGGATTATAGCAATTTATACACACATATATATATATATATATATATATATATATATATGGAGACTGATTAAAGTATTCAAGTACGTTGACTAAAATTCTATGTTGCTTTGATTTTTTTTAAACACTGGATAATCTTATATATTAAAACAGAAGTCATGACTTGATTTCATGTGTGATATTTTTAAAAATGGACTATTACTAGAAAGTTATGTTACATTAACTCTCTAATAATTTTATCATTATTATATCTTATGAAAAATCATATCTATAATAAAAAATATACGTTTAACAATTTAATTTTGGTAAATTACCCCACACCTTCCAACTTAGTCACGCAAAATATGTCAATAAATATAAGTTTAAGAATCTTCTATTATTTATAAGGAAATATGTCAATAATAGTTAAATGCATCCACAATATATTAACAAAAATTACAGATTAGTAATATGGAATATTTATATACCCTAACAAAATTTACACGCTATATATATTAGATAAATTTATTTCGATGTAAATTTTTAAAATTATATTGTTTAAAAAAATAAATTATTTAAAAAATTCCTTTTTAATAAAATTCTTTATAATATTAATTTATGAAGCTATAAATTTAGTTTTTAGCAAAAATTTCTTAGAAGTTTATATTATCTTTTCAAATTAAAGTAAACTAATATTTAATCAAGCTCTATTTATATTACTTTATCTAAAAACGAAATACTAATCTAACAAACAATAAATTATAGAAGAAGAAAAAAACACATGTTTGAAAAACATGTATAATATAGAAAATTTGAAACAATCTATTTGATTAAAACACTTATATATAATATTATTATGTTTGAAAAACATTTACCATACATATCGTAAATATGTGGTTACTATAATATATACCAATTTACAAGTGAAAACAAATAATATAACTAACTATAAACGAAAACAAACATCCGCGCGGTTGCGCGGATCAAAATCTAGTCTATTCTATTAAAATAGAGTCATTATTTTTATCTACCGATACAAGTTGTCATTTAAACTTGGACCCTTTCTAGAATGTTACAAATAATATAAGTCATATAATTGATTGAACCGTATTACTTAAATTAAACCAACACAATTAATGTAAAGAAACGACCTTAATGTAAACTACCTTCAAAATACGACAGGTATCTATGTGTATACCAAAAACACATATTTTCTCCTACAAATATGGAATGTTATAAAAGAATATATATCATCAAAATATGGAATATGGAAATCTACTAATTATACTTAAATTAAACCAGTGGTTATTTATGTAATATAGTCTTTGGCTTACTTTTATTTTTTGAACAAATTATATAGTTTGGTTTTTTAGCTTAGTATTAAGAAAAAACTCCAAAAACATTGAATAAACTTTTTACCTTAAAAGATCAAAAAATCAATAATTATTTTCAGACCCAAAAGGTATTTAATATTTTTAACAAAACAAAATTATCTATTATTAATCATTTATTTGAATCATGTACTTTAAAACATGTTAATATATATTTTTATTTTAAATAACAATCACTTTGTTTTGATAAATTTTAATGGTAACTTTTAAATAATTTATTGTTTTATTTTTCTTAAATAATTTACTGATTAAAAAAATGTAAAGCAAAACCAAAAACCAAATATAAAAACTAAAATCCAAAACCAAAAGCTGAAAACACATGTTATATTTGTTTGCTTTGTTTATTTACAAAATAAACTATTTCAAATTTTTTTAAAAAAATTTGTTATCATCTTTTCAGTTTTAAATTAGATGTTCGATTATTTGAGATTTGTTTGTTGGTAATATTAGTTCAAACTAACTCAGCGGGTTTAAAATTAAAAACCCAAACCAAAAACAGAAAATGAAAAGTAGAAACTTAAAAACTAAAAACCAAAAACCAAAATCTAAAAATAAAAACTGAAACTAAAAACTAATGAAAAACAATCATCACCACAAATTTTGGTGAACTGATTTTATATCAAAATATTCTTTAAATTAAGACAAAACCCAATTATATAAATTTTTAATCATAAAAAATTTCCGCGCTTTTAAGCGCGGGTCAAAATCTAGTTATGTATTACAATTTACAAACTATGAGAAATATTACATAAACAATATTACAGCCAATAATTTACCTGTCTTATGCGGATTTACATCTGAATGCATAATCCTGAGTCGTCCTATAAGATCCATTCCTGACGGTATGCCTTGCGCCATACTGAAGAGCTTTTGTAAGTCTTTTTCTCTGATCTACATAATTCGTCATTCATATTCTCCGAGAATTGAAACTCTCTTGATGTAAAAATTATGTAGTCTGAGATTCGAACCCCAAACATGGAATCATTTTGATTTTGGAAGAATATTTATGCGTATGGGAAATATAAAAAAAAAAAATTGATGAAATTTTTTTTTTTTTTAAAGAAATATCGCTTGGCGGATGTGTAACAGATGGCTGATTAGATGTCAAGACTCAACTGAGTTTATATATTCCCTCTATTTCATAAATAATAGAAATATATTCAAATGCTTATTAATTACACATATTGAACCAATAGTGTTTACAATCAATGTATTTATAATCAATTTTGAACTGAAAGTTGATTGAAATTCTAAAATGAAGTTTTTTTGTAACAAGAAAAAATTGTTAAAATGACAAGCTAATAATAGATTTGACATCTGCCATAAACAATCAAATTTATTTGCGGATCCTCATTTATTAGCCTCGATGAATTCCCTATACTCTTTCGTCATCTTCACACCCGATATGGTCCTGCATACGCTCGTCAATGTCGTCATCATTAGCCAAACCTGATCACAATAATGGCAGCACAATCCTATTAATGAAAGAACAGAGCCTGACCTGATCATTTCCTTGTTCTTGAAGAACTGCACACATGGCGTTCCCATGATTCCGGCTGCTTCAGCGATTTCTTGATCTTCCTCGATATCAATCTCAACAAAGTGCACATCGTTGTTATACTCATCTACCACCTGCAACATCAATTTAAGACGAAATGAACAGAGGGTTAGAGAATTAGCCAAATCAAGCTGAGTAAGGTTCTCTCGCAATGTATACCTTGTTCAAGATAGGCTTTAGGGTCCTACATGGGCCACACGTTGGTGAAGTGTATAATACACATATAACTCTTGAACTTTCATGGTATAATTTTCTAAGCGCATACTAAAAACACAATACCAAAGATGTTGAGACAGAGAAAATGCTTGTTCATTAAAAAGTAATAAGGTTCATATAGATCACCTGTCCCCGATGCTTTGTAAGAGTGACGTCAAACTTTTCTTGGACATCCCGCTGTGTGAACTCTTTCTTGGTCTCTTCAGTTTGAGGCTGTCACATGGCAGAACATGAAAGAATGTAAGCCTTGTGGAGTACGCAAATGAATTCAGATTTTGTTTTAAAAAAAAAATACTCCTACCTGGTGAAATTCAACAAGAAGATTGTTACTTGTGAGGTATCTCTCGGCTGACAAAGCGGCTATACATCCTGATCCTGCAGCAGTTACAGCTTGTCTCCATTCATGGTCCTAGAGTGACAAAATGGGATAGTAGTTCACACAATTATTGAACCGATATGGCTTCAAAGAGTTTATACCAATACCAAAAGATAGCTAAAAGTTACAAAGCAGAACCTGCACATCTCCTGCAGCAAATACACCTTCAACTGATGTATTAGATGTTCCTTCGCGAACCAACACGTACCCCGAGCTGTCGAGTTCGACTTGGCCTTCTAGTAACTGACTATTTGGCGAATGCCCTATTCCATAAAACAATCCTTTTGCCTCCAGCTCAGTTTCTTCTCCGGTATCAAGTCTTCTGAGTAGAAGGCCAGACATCTGTCCCTTCGTGTTGCTCAATACGTCCACCGTTTCCGTGTTGTAATGCACTGTGATGTTTGGATTGTTGATCACTCTGAAACATTCGCCATAACCAACCTGTTAAACAAACACTGAGGGTGTTGAAAAGACTCAACTTACAATGTGCTCATTAGTCTATTATTCCAAAAGCCAACAAAGCAGATAAGCGTTTTTTTACTGGTTGGTTATCGATTTACTTGGAATCCAACTCACAGCCAAAGGCATTCCTAGAAAATTCACATGTAAATATTTGTGTGCATGAAAGAACACTGAGTATAGATAACGACCGCATAATCCATACAAAGTTCTGTCTCGGAGTATTCTGATTTGGTTTCCTAACTCCACAGCCTGACAAATTACATTTCCTAGAGTAAAGTATGACTCAGAAGCTAATAATATAGTAAACTGTAAAAACTCACCGATCTTGCATAGCCTTGGAGGCTCTTAACTGATCTCTGCGAACAAGCAAATGAACATGACGTGCATATTTCGTAAGGTACAAAGCTTCCTCAGTTGCCGTATCTCCTCCTCCAACCACAGCGAGTACTTGCCCCTTAAACAAAGGCGAAGCCCCATCACAAATTGCACAAGCACTAATCCCTCTACTCCAAAATTCTTCCTCTCGCGGTAGTCTCAGCCTCTTTGCTGTAGCTCCAGTGGCATAAATGATACTATGGCACTTGACCTACAAAACCAACCCCCAAATGATAACAACATCGTAAGTATAAACACCGTAACACTAGTCGAGAGAGAAAAAGAGCCCCAAAAAATAACTAATCAATGTCTATAGAACCTCACAATCTAATCCTAAGAACTTATGTTCATCAAAGCAATGAAAGTATCTGCACTAGAATAACTAATGAAATCTCCAAAACAGGAAGTCGTTAGCTCAACCGGAAAAAACTCCTTAGCCATTGTGTTAGAGGTCCCTAGTTCGAGTGACCATTGGTACGAAACTAATATTACTGTTGACTACGACTTCGGCCCCGTACCTCCTCATATCAAAAGTATATATATATATATATATATAGATATCAACACTAGTCTCTACCTTCAATAGTATTAAACACCTTCCATCTGCAGTCTCTACCTAGTTTGAACTAACAAAAGAAGTGACAAGCAAAGAAAGATAACCACCTTACGTTCACTACTCTGCACAGTAAAGGGAGCCGTCTTCACACTAAGAGACTCCACATCTTCTGGATACAACTCTGCTCCCCACCTCTCAGCTTGCTTCCTCATTCTGCACATTCAACACAAAAAGATTGATTCAAGAAACTAATCAGTGAATTCAATATCCTCATATCGATCATATACGAATCCCTCACTTCTCCATTAAATCAGGACCAGTAATCCCGTCAGGGAACCCCGGAAAATTCTCAACCTCCGTAGTCGTCATCAACTGTCCACCTGGCACTCCTCCCATCTGATACCCTTCGAACACCACCGGCTTCAAATTCGCTCTCGCCGCGTATATAGCCGCCGTGTATCCCGCTGGACCCGAGCCTATGATCACTACGTTCTCGATCACCTCCCCTGCCAAAAATCAGAAGCTCGATTACTTCTGCTCTTAAGAATCTTACAAAAGCAGGAGAGTTAGTTACGATTACCTGAAGAAGACGGTGAATCGGCGGAAGCGGAGACTCTGAGGCGGAGGGAATCGGAGCGAGTTCGGTAACCGCAGCGTGTAGTAGTGAGATGAGGGGGAGGAGAGAGGGCGGCGACTCGGTGAGTCGACACGGAGCCGAGTCCGATGCCTGCAGCCATTTTGTTTTGCCGTTCACTCACCTTACGCGCGCCAAAGCATTATCTCTTTGCTTTTTTTTAGTCTTTAGGCTTTAAAAGCTTCTCAGCCGTTGGATGCTAAGAGAGCTTTTGTTAGTGACACGTGTCACTGTAGAGATGTGTGATGACTGATTTTACTTTCGTCTTTTCAGCGGAGGATATAGTCGGATTTTATGTGGACGGATGGATGCTTTTTTTTTTTATCTATTGGGCTAAAACCGGCTGGATATAGGGTGAATTGGCGAGATAGCCATATTTTGATGTTAAATTAAGACAATAGCAATGATTTGGACATAATATAGTGTCAGGCTTTTTGTCAACTTTTTATCCGGTTATGTCCTTTCCATTCACAGGTTTCCAGTTCCATAATATAAACTAGAGGACGTGGATGTGTTGTGTCGTATAATAATAATCACACAATTTATGGAGCATGTGATACAGCTGTATTTAATACAGATGATTTAAGTGGATGAATCGAGAGGAGGGGATAAATGTGTAAGTAAACCAGAAACTATGTTCAATTAACGACGAGTTGAAAATAATGAAATGTATATCCTATATTGATTGTACGAGTTTCCATACTATGTACACTAGATAGAATAGTATAATTATAAATACAGTTCCAAATGGAAGATCATTTGCATAGTTTGGGTACAATATAAAAGTACATGAATGCAAAGAAAACATGTAATGCTTTACCCAAAGACAAGCTAAATATTATAAAAATAAACTTATAAATTTAATCAGTAGATCATACTTGGAAATATAATGATTGTACTAGTTTCCATACTATGTATACTAGATAGAATAGTATAACTATAAATTTAGTTTCAAATGGATGAACATCTACATAGCTTGGATACAATATAGAAGTGCATGACTGCAAGAAAAACACGTAATGTTTTACCCAAAGACAAGCCAAATATTATAGAAATAAACTTATAAGATAAAATCTATTCCATATAATACAGACTATGTTATTTGCTACTATGCTAGGTTGGATAGATTAAATAATGTTAATGTTAATTACCTCATAAATATATATGTGTTATAGGGTAAGCAAACATTTAAAAAGTATAGTACATAAAGTGTTTAAGTTCTATTCTATTTAATACATACTATGTTATTTGCTACTATTTTCATATAACATCCAGAATTGAATTACTTAAAATTGAAATTAAATGGGGGATTGGTAAGAAAACACTTGACACTAAACACTATACCCAAGTTAGGGAAATATAAACCCTCATCCATTACAACCCAAATATATTAGCAATTAAACCCACCTTTCGCAATATCCTTCTATTTCGATAAATTAAATGATGCCAATGTTAACTTACTCATAATATATGTGCGTTATAGGGTGAGCAAAACATTATATTATAAGACAAATTCTATTCCATATCAAACATATTATTTTATTCGATATTAAATTTTAATTCCAAGATGGACGGACTTACATAAAATAGAAAACTAAATGGGGAATTGATAAGAGAATACTTGACACTAAAACTAAACCCAAGTTAGTGAAATATTAACCCCAATCCATTGTCAACCCAAATATTTGGGATGTTAAACACACCTGCCATAATAATGGAGACATATATTTACATTCCTCAGGAACATGTAATTTGCAAGGGAAAGTGTTGGCACAAGTTCACGTACTAAAGATGATATTACAAAAAATATTATATTCTATATCATAAATTGTATAAGACAAAAAAAGCAGAGTGTACAGATCGAGGGAGATGCGCTCGATGATTAGCTTTTCTGGTTCCCTTTCCTCGTGCACCTCTACCCTTTGACTGCTGGTGCTCATATGGTTTGTTCCCGCAATCAAGGCTCGTTACAAGAGAAAAGTCTTGTATAGCATAACGAATTGGTTTCCCTACCAAGAGCCACCAGGGCTCAAATTCTTTCTCAGTAACCAACTGCTGTGATAGAATAAAATGAAGAAATAAAACCGGGAAAGTATGGTTCCCCATCTGCATGACTTGCCCAAACTGTGACGCATTCAACATCACCAGGTTCTCTTAATCTAGTGCGTTCTTTATCACCTCATTACAACAGAGGATGAAATAGTTGTTGACCCTATTCTTGCCAGTGGGTTCAAACCCTGTGTCAAACAATCTACTTGAAAGGCCTAAGTCGTCCATGTCAGACCTGAGAAACAAAAATACGAGTAAAAAATAGTGAGTACGGAGGGAGCTATCATATTGTATATAGAAATTATTTTTTTATGTAAAACACAACATAAATATATAGATAACAAATAGAAATGTTTAACAATCAAATCTACAATTCCATTCCACTTCATACGGATAGACATCATGAATATATAGATAACGAATAGAAAGGTTTGACACACAAATCTACAGTTACATGTAAAATAGATATTATGCAATTAAATTTCATTCCACTTCATACAGAATAGACAGCATAAATATATAGATAATGAATATAAATGTTTAACACTCAAATCTACAATTCCATGTGGAGTAGATAGCATGTAATTAAATCCATTCCACTTCATACAGAACATGTTACCAAATTTACTTCTATTCCACTTCACATGGAATAGAACTACAACAAATCATGCTATACACAGACGATGAAACAACTATGTAATCCAAATTCCATCCCACACATCAATTAATCTGCATAGATAGAGAACAAGCCTATGTAAACCTGAGATAGATTGTTGTTAATTTTATTCTATTTCACATAGCATAGAATATATGTAAACCACATAGATCAATATCCCCAGAATTTCCATTCCAATTAACCTCAACTATACATTATTACGATAATTAACGAGGTTGTTCTGTATCGCGGATAATAAACCTAAATTTCAAAGTTTGCAAGAATAAGAACATGAACAAGAACGGTTAATGAGCATAGATGGAGAACAAGCCTATGTAAACCTGAGATAGATTGTTGTTAATTTTATTCTATTTCACATAGCATAGAATATATGTAAACCACATAGACCAATATCCCCAGAATTTCCATTTCAATTCACATGAAATTTCAGTAACAGATCCGCAAAATTACTTGGAAAAAGTTGTAGATTCAACAACTACAGAACCATAATTCCAACAACAAAGTAGAAATATAATTGAAAATAAGGCGAGATGAAGAGAAGAAACCGGAAAACTTACCGTCTGCCAATCGATCGAATACGATAGGAGTTTCAGAAGTCTCCTCTAACAGTGGTTGTCAAACGCTGCCGCTGCGGAATATACACCGGCGACTATGTGCCGATTGAAGAATTAGAGTAGAGGTAGAAGGTGATTACGACGACGAAGAAGTGAAACTTGGAGGAGAAGGATGCGAATTTTACGAGTTCACTGTTGTTGTTGGAGACGTTTAGATTTCTAGGAAGTTACTGCAATAGGTGAAAATAAGTTGTGGAGGAAGGTAAGCCACGATTTACATTCTAAATGCAAGAAAAAATGAAAAAAATTTTTCTTGCAGGTAAAGCCGGTTGATCTTGAGGACAATATAGTATTAATATAGAAAAGAAACGACGTCTATAGATTTGTGAGGGTTTTTGGCATACTTTCCTAATATTTTTTTTTTGTCTTGCTATTGGACCTAATTCCCCTTGATTTTAAATATTGGGCTTTACCTTTGGTGTGAGTTTTTGTTTTGCTTTAGAAGAGCTAGTTTTGTTGTTTTTGCTAATATATATGTGATGATCAAGCATGGATACAAAACCGAAATACAAACCTGAAATGATCTCAAGCTCTAAACGACAGTATCTATGGTGTTAAACATGTTACAGGATGTGACACAAGCTCAATATAGTTTCTCATGATCGAAGTCCATTGGTCTCTTATTAATTAGGGCTCTTAACAAGTGAGGTTTTCTATATATAGGGTCAGGCGGTCAGCTATAAATAGGCCTGTTCGTTTCCGTAACGCGGTCTCGGCGTTGAGCGGCAAGAAAATGTAGAAGGATTTACAATGTCAGGTCAGCAACAAGTTAAAATGGTAAGCTAAAAGATAACACTATTTGACGCTAGCGTCAAATAAATGCATGTGCGGGAGCCGCCAATAATTACAGCGGCGATGAAAACACAGAAAAGATCGGGAGTAGCAGTAGCCGGCGGCAACTTTATAGCGACGCTGCAACTAAATGTCTCTGTTTTGTTTGTTAATTTGACCACTCGACGCTGACGCTCTGCGTTACGGAAACGAACAGGCCTTATAGTACTAGAATATAACTTTCGTTTTTGCCTCTAAAAGTCACTTAATATGTAAGGATCATTCGACTCCAATCCATCCAAAGATATATATGTATGAATCATCTTATTTCAAAATATAATTGTTTCTAGTACCATAGATCTCACAACTGGTCTTAGCAAAAAAAATCTAGAGACCGGTCATAGACTTGGTAGAATATATGTAATATATGTAATGACAATGGATAAAGTAATTTTGGGAGTTGCCACTTTGTGCAACTCTCTCGTTCACCCTTTTATGAGATCAAACACATAATCTTTGACATGTGTGTGCTCTCAAATTATCCTTCCTTTCCCTTGCATGAATTAATAAAGCTCCAGTGAGCTATTTCATTTTCATATCTCTTTATCTATCTTATTAGATTTTTTAAGAATTATGGAACTTCTCCTTAGACATCTTAGGCAACGTCATTTTTGAAGGATCTAGCCGAGTGGAATTCATCTCCTCAATTTTAATGGTAGAAGGTCTTGCAATTCGTAGAGCTCTTATGTCTGCTCAGGACTCAGGCTTCTCCGACATTATCATCAAATCAGATGTTCATATAATCATCAGAGCTATCAACAAGAGATAATTCATTAAGGAATTTTTTTGGTATATTACATGATATCCTTAGTTTAGCCTTCGGTCTCTCGTCTATCTCCTTTACTTATGCACCTCGCTCAAACAAATTGGCAGCTGACTTGCTCTCTAAGAGGGCCATGTCTTCTTATTCCTCTTCTTTGTAAACTCTGCTTAATGTTTTAATCAATTAGCTGTTCAAAAAAAAAAAAACTTCTCCTTAAGCTAACTCAGAGAAATAAACTATAGTAAGCGCAAATAAGAAGAATACACACAGTACTTTCTCACACCAGGCCAATACAGATTGTCCTGATCATTTTGAGAATAAAGAGCGAAAACATTCAAGAAGTACATTCGTTAAGCAAATATTAGGGTTATTTTATTATTATATAAACAAACACTGCTTGTTTTTTGAAAGTTGAAACCAAGATAATTACTTACTATGAAAGGGTACTCGATATAGAGAGTTACATTCTATATGTATTCAATGATGAATGTGGCTGAAGTGAATATCAAACTAAGAGTTGGTGAGTGAAGTGACAGACCATTGCTAATGTCATATAAGCAAACTTGTTTTTTCTTCTCAGTGTCGTTTCACTAAGAAAAAAGGTGACGCATGCAAATAAAGAATAGTATAAAGCCAAGAAAGTTATAAGCTGACCAAAAAGAACGGCCCAATCAAAGCAAAAGAGCTTTGTCTTTAGTCTACGTTTAGTGTCTGAATTCTATGCACTTGTGTTTTTATTAGTCAACAAGTTGTACTTTCATTAAAGTTTTGTCTAGAAAATTTATTATTAGTTTATCACGCTACACCAATAAACATTCAACTACTTTATGGTAAAGAATAAAAACATCGTTCCTACTTGGCATTCAAACTCGATGGTTCGTCATTTAAGGTTTCAAGTAGCTTTAACATCTATCTATAAAACGAACTATGTCCTGAGATCTTAGCCCCAATAGAGCTTACATATTATATATATAGCCCCAAATAGCACACATGTTGGAGCATTGTGACCCCTTATGGTTCAACAAATCATTTCTCCTGGACAATTAGTTTGATCACTTTTGTTTTACTATATGGTAAATGTAAAGCCAATACAATATAACCTTAGTTTTTGGAATTTATATTTATTCAGTCTCTCTTCTTGGTTTTTATCTCGATGCTAAAGACGTTACGTGTGGATAGCACTCGCCGGCAGGGAAGATTGTCGGCAATCCCTTCAAAGTTGAAATGAATCAAAGTGGTACTTTGACAAACAAACAGAAATCTGAAAGTGATTCTTTTCTTTCATTCTTTGACTGAAAACAACATTAGTTAACTTATAATTACTTAACCATGTCATGCAACAAAAGAGATTAAACTTTGTATTCTATGTTCATAAACAATTCCTAAATTAATGTAATTATCAAGAAATTGGGTTCACTAAGTTGTTGTAAATTTGTCAAAAAGCATGAAATGTCAAAAAGATAGTCATCAATTTCGAAAGACAAAAAGAAAGATATATAATACTCAATTTGTCATGAGACCAAACAAAATCTTGCAAAGAGGTGAACATGATAAATAAATCACTAGCATGTATGATTTGCATTCATTGTTTTTTTGTATATTGATAGTACCACCACACCTAAAAGGGGGTCCAAACTAGTTGCTTCATATCACAATATTCAATTTTACCAACTTGCATATATATAATATCTATATTCACACGTACATCTCGTGATTCTTAATCATGTTCTTTCGTTTCCTATACGTTCAATAAAACACACGTTACAACTTAAAAAAAAACATTTACAAAAAGATCGGTTGGTAAATGCCGCGACTAATGTTTCCAGGTAAATAAGAAAGGAATATTAGTTCTAAGAAATTTAATCCAAATGTCATTAAGTAAACCAGATAAAAAGTGGTCGTTTTATGACAAAATGTTGAAAAAAAAAATCTGCGAAAGAAAGGAAAAAATCAGAGAGAAAAAGCTCGATTCAACTATATATTATCGATTGGATGAATTGCCTAGAATCTCTAAATCTTCATTTACACTCAGAAGCTATCCGACATTCTGTTTTAATAGAAAATTTACATTTTGTACTTAAGAAACTTTTTAAACCTAAAGAAAATAATATCTCCTGCTTTCATAATAGTATTAGCGATGATTGGTTTCAACACATGAGGAATTATATAAGATTCAAACATAAATTTAATTGGGGGGGGGTTCTTATATTTACCTCGGGTATCGAGGACATATGTAAGAAACTCAAACTAATTCTAAAGTAAAGTGTAGCTTATGAATTGACTTTTTCTCTTGATATTCAAATAGGTGGTAAGTAATACATCCATATCTACATATCCAAACAATGATATATAATGGGGTGCTTTTGAAACCACATTACTTAAAGCATGATTAACCCCGTCTTTTAGCCGTAGTTCTTAATTCATGATTTTACATTTTCTTTTATATTTTTCGGTAAAAAGCGGTTTTTAACTATTCTTTAGTTAAAATTTAAGAAAATCTAAGAACCGTTTCTTAGCCAAAGTTAAAAATCATAATTAAGAAATTGAGGTTAACGACGGTCCCACTAGATGGTTCGTAAAATCAATGGTTAGTGCTCGTATTCTTATATATAAAAATGTCGAATTATCATAATTTCCATTAATATGATACATTCAAACATGCTCCCTCGCATCGAAAAAGACCGTCACAAAAATCTATTTTAAACAAAAAAGGTACTATGCAATCCATGTGTATATAAGGTATGTTCCTTGAAAAATAGTTCAAAGTATTACTATTCTTGTTTCAACCACTTTATTAAACTAATTAACGTCTCTTTCTCCCTCTATAGAGTCGTGTTACGTCTATCTTGATTAAGATCTTCTCCTAATTGTTCTCTTCAAGAAACAATACTTCTCGCTTATGGAAAATGAAACTGATGATCATATAAGGTATAACGATAACATCAACGGCGAGGAGGAACGTTTACCTTTGGAGTCTATGACCGGAAAACCAACATCCACGGCGGAGTTACAGCCGCAGCAACCGCCACCATTCTTGGTGAAGACATACAAGGTGATTGAGGATCCGATCACGGACGAGGTTATATCTTGGAACGAAGATGGAAGCGGTTTTGTCGTGTGGCAGCCGGCTGAGTTCGCAAGAGATCTCTTACCAACACTTTTCAAGCATTGCAACTTCTCTAGTTTCGTTCGGCAGCTCAATACTTACGTACGTGCATGCTCCATCCATATTGCTTCATTTATTTATTTTTACTTAATCGTATGTTCCATTGTTTCGATTAAGTTAACTAGGAGTATTAATTTGAGTGTATATTTTCTTTACCTTTTAAAAAATAAATACAGTTTTTAACTGAAACTTCAAATCACAAAGATAATGCAGACAATTATGTTTACTTTGTAGTTTATTGCCGATTTTTGGAAAAAAAAAAAAAAAATATCGAGAAACAATTTTAAATTAAATCATCTAGAAATTGCAGAAGAGTTTTAGTTCTTTTGTTTCCGTTTTGCATTTGTATTTGTAGTATTATCCAAATAAAAACGGACAAAAACTCTAAAATATTTGTATATATATTCTTCAAATAAAACAATATATAATATAACACATAAACGTAAAAAGAAACACAAACAAATTCATGGATACGTGATTTTCATATCTGCATGATGTGAATGTGAAGATTTACGTAAATTTGGTACATGACATTAATGAATGGTTACAAAATGTAGGGGTTTAGGAAAGTGTCGACAACAAGATGGGAGTTTAGTAATGAGATGTTTCTAAAAGGGCAAAGAGAGCTAATGTGCAATATCCGAAGAAGGAAGAGTTGCCTACACTCACACTCACACAACAAGTCTCATCAGGTTGTACCAACGACCACAGCAAGGCAAGATGATCAATCACGGCTTGGTGTTGATCCTCAAGACTCTTCCTCCACTTCCTCCTCCTTTGTATACTCTGCTTTACTCGACGAAAACAAGTGCTTGAAGAGTGAAAATGAGTTCCTGAGTGCAGAACTCGGGAAGACCAAGAAGAAATGCAAACAACTTATGGAGTTGGTGGAAAGATACAGAGAGGAAGAAACCGATGATGATGATGATAATGATAATCATGGGCTTAAGCTGTTTGGAGTAAAACTAGAGTGAGAGAGAACGTTGGATTGATTTGCATTGCCAGCTTCTTACATAAATATACTCTTTAAGACATGCAAGATTAAAGATTAAAACACAAGTCCAAGAAATCTCGGAACTTGTGTTGTATTGATAGTGTTCAAAACATGGTACACTACAACATTGTGTACATATATATAAACGTTAAGAACATATTTTATTTCCATATATACAACTATTTTGGGTGAGTGATCAGATATTTCTCTTTAGGCTGTGGTCATGGAAGGGTTTTGAGTTATACAAAGCCGTAATAATGGTTTCACTGGTTATGAGTTAGCTGCAAAATGGTTGAATATGGTCTCAAGTGTGGACTGACTTATACTGTATTCAGCTATTCCCAACTGATTCCTGCCATAGCAACAAGAAAATGTCATTCCTCAGACTTACAAAGACTTTGATATCTGTGAACCATGGAGAAGAAACGGTTTAAAATAAGAATGTCTTACCGGTTTCTTTCAAGGTGTCCAAAGGCATCTGCAAGTGACAATCCTTCTTCTCCAAATGGTAACTGCAACAGAGTCCATGTAAAGATTTGAGCAAAAGACTAAAAGAGTGATCTAGTAACTGCTTTTGTGTTTACTTTTTTACCTGGTATTTAATGATCAATCCATTGCAGCTCTTAAATGTTGCACCTGGAAACGAAGACTGTATGAAAGAATCCAATGCTGAAAACTTTTCTTTGGTAAGCCACCATTCCGCAAATATTGGCAGTGGAATACCACCTGTTCAGCACCAAACCCAAAAACAGATGTTTGTGTTAGCAGTTGTGAGACAGGGCAAAAAATCTAATAACTTAAATGTGAGACATGTGTTCATACCATCTCGAAAGAGCTGTTCTGATAACTGTTCATCGGATCCAACATCTTCCTCAGGCATGAGAGGTACTAGAATACTCACTCTCTGCTCATTACCAAGATACTTGGCAATGCTTCGTATCATTTCTGGTGACAAACTGATTTCTGATGCTGAAGCCGTATCAGGAGTTATAGAGTCAGAGACACCGATACAAACTTCGAGGTCACCAAGCAAACTTCTAGGCTGGGAAGGAACGTTAAACAGCCACTGCTGAATCATCTGACAAAGGTTCTCCAAGTCCACATGGCTCACTTCATTGGGTTTAACCTAATTTGTAAGACAGCCAACGTTAAGCTTTGACAAATGACCTTTCCTACCACTGAAACAAAACATCCCTGGAACTTTACCTCTAACTCAAGGTGGTTTCCGAAGCGTGTCTTTAAGTGTTGTGGACTACCTATGCATCTAAGGCGGCCTCCAACCTGTAATTTAAGGGTATGGTTCTATGAGGTGAATACATTTAAGTAATTAACGTCCTACAGAGCTCAAAATAAGTTTAAGAGATACCATGATCCCGATCCTAGTGCAAAGCGCTTGAGCTTCATTCATGCTGTGAGTAGTCAAAATAACAGCTGTCTTTCCACTCCTTGTCGACAAGCGGGATATCACATCCCACATGAATCTTTTGGCAACAGGATCCATACCTGAAGCATTAAACAAGAATCACCAAAAACTTTACAGACTAGCTAAAAAACACAGACGAAGCCAACCAAAATTTTGGTTGGTCTTATACCTGTAGATGGTTCATCAAGGATGACAATGGGAGGATCTCCAATCATTGCAATAGCAACGGATAGTTTGCGTTTGTTTCCGCCGCTAAGAGTGAACGATGGCTTGTGAGAATGCTTCAACAAGTCAAACTCGACTAACTTTTCCATAACCACCTGTTTTTAGAAAATACAGACCAGACAATCTTTAAATAAGCAACTTCCACTAAACAAAAATACTTAATAGTATGGTTGTAATGTTGAATTCATCCAAGGCGTGTAAGAAAGCATCAAAAGTCAATCCCGAATAAATAACACTTACATTATCAATTCTATAGTCTACCACTCCTTTGATCCTTGCATAAAGTTCAAGGTGCTCCTTAACAGTCAAATAGTCGAACAAAGCATCAAACTGGGGGCAGTAGCCAATCTGAGCAAGAAAGACAAAATAGTTTTTTAGCATGTTCATTCGATTGACTCAGTGAGACTGGTAAAAGTCAATGATTTGACATACATGCTGACGGATAGCTTTGGGACTCGCTACTATGTCTTTGCCAAAGACAAAGGCAGTTCCACTAGTTGGTGTTTCTTCTCCTGTTGCACCCACAGAAGTGAAAATAATACAATGTTATTATTTCAAATTTGAAAGTTTTTATTTAGCGGTTTCAAAGTCTGCAAGAGAACAGCTCCGCTAATAGTCTGAAAATACAAAAGAAGCACCACATACCAGATAACATAGATAAGGTAGTAGTCTTCCCAGCTCCATTCGTCCCTAAGAAGCCAAAACATTCTCCTGCTTGGACCGAGAAAGTCAAAGACTGTACAGCTACTTTTGGGCCGTGATGATTGGAACCAGGATAGACCTGAAACAGTTTTACTCTTAGAAAAGAGAGGAAAATCTCTATTAGCGCTTGGGTAAAAGAGACGGTTTCAATACCTTTGTCAGGTTTTGCAAGTAGAATATGGTGTTGTCTGTCAACCCTGAAATTACCCTGTCTCTTTCCTCTAGCACGTCTATATCATCCTCCACATCAGGGGAAATGACTCCAGTCGAATCCTTGAGAAGCGGCTCTGTAGAACTAGAACCAGCACCTTGCTTATAAACTTTAAAATTCTGCCACCACTCCCCAATTGAGAAAGACATCACTTTTTGAACAGGCAAGAGCTCAAGCCCAAGCGTCAAAAGGAAGTAGAATATACTCTGTCAAATATACGTTCAGTCAGATAAGAAATGCCGAAATGATATAAATTCACTATAATTTGGTGAATATATCATGAAAAATAACAAGTATCATGAAGCAACTATAATATTCGATCTTTTACATTTCAAAATTAATGAAACTGTTGACACTTAACGATGGATTTATTTCTCAGGTTTCAAAATATAGCAACAAATAAGTTGAAAAAAGGGAAGACTCTAACCTCCAAAGCTAGGTATGAGATGGAAGCTCCAGTAACATTCCAATCAAACACCCCATGGCTGGATTTGTCTTTCATCCCCTGCCTTAGAAGAGCTAATGAAGCCAATCCATCAGAGAAGCAAAATCCTGGTGATAGTCTGAAGAAGGTCTGTAAAAGCATAATGAAAAAGGATCAGCTCTTAGTCTGCTTTCAAGGCTTACAGAGGTCAGGAACAGAAGAACCCACACCTTTAGATATGAGTTTGCATTAACAGTCGCTGGAATAAGGCCCATGACAAATGAGATAACCATTAAGATAAGACCAGAGAAGAAGTGGACCATAAGAATAACATTCTGCGATTACAGTAAAGACATTTATCCATTAGTCACATTATGAAGTAGCTACAGAGATGGAAAGAAAAAAAAACTAATAACTTACAGAGAATAGCTGGACGTTACCTGTGCCATGCTATGCTCGGTGAAGAAAAATGTAAGACAATACGTTGATGATGCAATTGCCAAGCCATACTCCAGGAGCATCAGGACAGTCGGCAGAAACCGACCTATTCCGATAAACTGCTCCAGACCTAAGGAAAGATATCAACATTTTCAGTAGGGTACTACAAAAGCACAATGTAATAGAAGTTTAAATGCAAATGAAAACGAAAGTATAACTTACCAAAAGCGTAGAAGAGGATTATTGCAAATGTTGACGGAAATAAGAAACTGACGAAATCCCATACGTACGTTGACAACCAGTATGAAAAAACAGAAACCTGCAAGCCATGAAAGATAGTGATGACTAATGCAATACACGATTTTGGTACTCCAGAATTCGTCAAGAGAAAAGTTTACCCCACTAATAAGCTGTTGGTGCTTTGCTTTCACCTCTCGCTCCTGAAAAGATAAGATACTTATAGACATTTAGAGTAAAATACTGGAAAAGTAGACGAAATATAGAATTTCAAAAAAAAAAAAATTCTGCCAAAATTAATGTGAGGTTACCTACATACCTTAACAATGGGAACTGCAAAGGAGGCCGGGATGAATGAGAATGCAATGCTTACAATAATTGCAGCGGAGAAGGCGTCCAAATCCTGCATTGAAAAGAAAATAAGATCAAAGCTACTTCTCCTGGTCTTTTGTATTGTTTCTAACATTACTTCGAGGGATCCCTGCAACTGTTTACTAATCGCTCAAACTGAACATCAATTCAATAAAATAATAAAACTGATACCAGAGAAAGTTGGAACTACTCCTAATAGAAAGACATACATGACGCTGTAAGCGCTGACTTTTTGTTTGAGGCAAAGGATGGTTTCGCGTTTGAATTGTCATATTCTTGTTACCACTAGCAAGTCGGAGAAGCGCAGCATGCATAACATTGATGTAGATAGGACCAGCATGCTGGCAAGTACTGTTGTGTAACACGGTATATCCTACACTCCCATCAGGATGCTGACTATCCATTAAAATTGCCCCATACCTAAAGAGACACCCACGGGTAGCATTTAGCCAAGTCAGTACATAGTACACTGTAACATTCTCAAAGAGGTCACCAAACAAGGGAGAACAGAAAACTTGAAGGCAATAATAACTAAAGCAAATGAACTATATTAAGCTTAATTTTCACACAGAGCAACGCATGAATCTGCTGTGACCTATACATACCTTGACTCGTATGACTGATCAAAACTAGACATCAGAAATTCACTCATAGAAAGTAGAGTGGGGCCCAACGTGGGACCTGCTGCATCAATTGCATCAGCCAATGCCTCTTTAGGATTAGGAAACTTATATGAACTATTCATCAAGGGCTGAATCCAGCCTCCTTCAATATATTCTGCAACCTGAATGCATCGGAGAAACAACATTGAGCACTAGAAATGTTTGGTAATATGCAACTCAGCCATCGTGCTCACTGTGACCAACACCATGTAAGCATAAAATTTAACAAGTGAATGTGCAACAGAACTACGCTCTACTACTTGTAACGAAACCTTGGGTTAAGTTGTAGACGGCTGCATAGAAGCAAACCACTCTACATATAGTAACTCAAAAAGCGAAACGGATTACTAGCCATGGAGTCTATCTCATGCAGTTTATTATTGAAAGGAAGAATTTCAAGTAATCAGCTTTCTTATGCGTGTGTACGTTAAGAGAGTAAAATGAATTGGTTTTTGAATTACAAGGATTAGTATTATTTATGTTAAGTTAATAGAGCAAGTAATGCCACCAAATTTATTTTTACTGGGAGAAAAAGCGTTCAGAATATATTGTAGAATATACCTCTTTGGCAATTGGCTCAGATAGATCAAAAGGAATCGGACCACCACCTCCATTGCCACTCAAGAGAGGATTAAAATAGGCAGTTGTCAAAGTAATGGAATTCTGATCAGGATGTGGCTTGAGCTGAAGTAAAAGAAGGCCAAAGAGTAAGAAAACTGCTGGGATGATGAGCTGGAACGCCACTGTTTTGCGGTCTCTGAAAGCAGATCTTGCTCTTTTAATGAATAATGCTTTGCAATGCCGCCAAAACATTGACCTTGAGATAACGGAACAACCACAACATTGCATGCTAATGAATCCAATGAAAGTCCAAACTGCAGCAACGATTAATCTGCAAGCTTTTCCAATTGAGGTAATAATAACTCCAGCGCCCTCATTACAACTTACTAGTAATTTAGGTTGGATAGTGCTTTTCTGAACAGACTCAACGCACACCAAAGAAGCCTCGGTATCAGGAAAAACAAATGTATCTTCCTGCTTATCCTCGATATCTAAGTTACAGCCAGCAACTCTCAGAAACACCTCTTCAAGTGTCGTGACAGAAATACCATAACTCTGAATACCAGGATAATCTGAGTCCTCAATCTCACTAATCCTAGATCTGTCAACAGAACTCTTCATGCAACTCTCAATTTCTCTGAACATATTTTCAAAGCAAGGCAAGGATGCCAAAGGAAGCTTGAAAGAGATTTCGTTTCCCACCTGGAAAAATCATAACATACAAAGATGAGCTTTAAACTTATCTAAGGAATTAACAATTTTTTATACGGGAAATATCTGCAGCCACTAACATGCTACAATATCCATTGTTTAAGAACTTAAGTCACAATTAAACTCAACCATAAATGTTCTACTCTAGAAGATTGGACCTCTGCAAAGTATAAAAGCCTGCAACAAGGCAAAACATTTCCCTATTCTAGATGCTCTCAGTCTCCTTAGAGAACGTAAGTAATATACCTCACTCACGCAGGTTGCTGATGGAATGTGACGATGAACTATATTTGCGGCAACAGAGACAGCTGGAGAAGTCTAAAACATAAGGAACCCCCAGTTATTTTGATATTCTAAGTAGAAAGTTTACAAACTCGACCCGAAATAAAAAGAATACAAACAAACCTTTACTAGCGTAAGAGTGTAACCAACCCCATAGTGATGCTTCAGGAACATGGAGCTGTTTAACCATAAAATACCAAAAATCATTGCTTAAGTGTTAAATGAAGCTGTACATGAATAATTCTTTGATCAGTAAAAGAAAATATTTGTTTTCACGTGAAGCACTTTCATTGTCAAATAAGATAAGATAATTTTGGGGAACCTGTTTTTTTTCAATTTCTAATATCTCAGAGACCCACAACACCAAAATGAAACACCTTCTACTAGTCATGAGCGGTATTTGATAAATTCACGTCAATTATATCACTCATAGTAACTAACTCAAACGAAACAATCCCAAAGTGTGAATGCTTGGTTCACATGGACAAGGCGGTAGAAAAAGCCAGAGTATTTAAAAACACTTAACCTGCCACAACACTTAAGAGACCCGTTAGCCATGATTCCTATCCGATCTCCAAGTTCTTCAGCTTCATCCATGGAATGCGTTGTTAGCAATATTATTCTGCCCTTTTTAATTTTCTTAATCAATTGCCAAGTAAGACGCATTGAGTAAGGATCCATTCCACTGGTTGGTTCATCGAGAATAATCACCTGAAAGATAAAGCATTCAACGACAACAATCAAGAGAAACTTGCAAAATAGTATGCCTTTGTGTTTCCTTCTCACCTTACTGTTCCCTATCAATGCGATTCCAAGTGATAATTTCCTCTTCATGCCTCCGGAAAGTGCGCGCACTAGTGTACTAATTTTATCAGACAACCCCACCTGGAAAGATATCAGTAACCAAGATGAGACAGTTGTGACAAGTGCCAATTTCAAACAACAAACGGCCTTCTTCATTTACTGTCCTACAAAACTGTTCCACTAACTCTAACTTATGCAGACTGAAGTTTTAATGCTTGTGCCATAATCAAATTAGCCCCAGAGGCTATGAAATCGACATGCTGTAATGTGCGTGGATGTAGTTTGTTGGAGAGAAAGACACAAACAATAGCTTGTATTTCAGTACATACTTCTTCTGCCATATCAGCGACAGTGCTCTTTACGGACTCTTCCTTAACACCTTTAAGAGCCGCAAACATCTCCAAGTGTTCTCTAACCTACAGTAGATATAAATCATTTAGACGTTATTCCATAAGAACAACCTAAAAATATCATATTCAGATGTGAAAACCATCTAATCAGTCAGAAGACTGAAACTCTTCAATAGTTTCATGTTCTCATTCTTTGATCATTGCCACTAAACTAAAGATTACGTTACCATGTTGTTGAATTCGAACTGTAAGCTTTGCTTCCTATACACAAAAGAATAAGACCAGAAGAGAAAGAAAGGATTGTTGAACTTACTGTCAGTTCTGGAAAGAGGATGTCATGCTGAGGGCACACACCTAGTTCTTTTCGTATCTCATCCTACAGAGAGAGAGATATTAATGACACAAAATTCTAAATCATATGAAATCAGACAGATGGTATCTAAGTAATTGCTAGATTCTAGCACTATAAGAAGAACGTCTGTCTTACACTAGTTAGAGGTTAAAGCTTTTCTGTTATGCAAGAAATTTAGGGATTCAAGTAAAAATAAGAATAACATTTACCATGTTTGCTATGATACTGTTTCCAAATATCAGTGCATCACCAGACGTTGGAGGAAGAAGGCCAACAAGCATTGATATTGTTGTGCTTTTACCAGCCCCATTATGTCCTTCAAGCAAAGGAAGCAAGATTTAACAAAAATAATATCAAGCTTAGCAATATCGTTTCTCAACTTGAATATCAGTGTTTCCATCAATAATATTATCAGAGACCAGGGAAGTGTAATAAGAAAGCGATAGCATCATGTTATAGAATGAATTTCCTAACAAGTAACAATGAACACATAAAATGAAACTTGACTAAATTAGCTTCATTGACATGCACAAGAGCTCAGGAACAAAACTGGATTTTTGTTTATGAACAAGAAGATTCAGATGGACATGCTCAACCATACAACACAGAAAGCAACCAAAACAATAAACTCAATCTACAAATTCTGAAACATTTTGATTTGGATATGGTAGTCTATCAAGCAAATATTAAAGCGGTTAGAGGAGACGAGAATATTTAATAAACAGGAACAGACGTACCCAGAAGTGAAAGTATCTGGTTCTCGTACAATGTTAGTCGCAATGAATTAACTGCACAGCAATTCCCCCTTCCTGACGCAAAGACCTTATGCAGATTTTTAATTTGTATGCACCTACAGGGCAAACATTCAATGTGAATCAAATGTCCAGCTCTAAAAAACATTAGTTCCAAGAGATTTTTTATTTTATCAGATGAGACATGAGTGCACCTCCCATCAAGCTCTTGCTGCCTCATTTCCAGGCTTATTGATTCAATAACAGGATCAAAAGGCTCTCTCTGAGTAACCTCTATATTAGTTTTGAGACCTGGAATGCGATATTGGTTGTTTTTCTTCCTCCCAAAGTACTTGTTAAAGATAAAATTCCATGGGTACCGCACACCATTTTCCCTGGGAAGGACCTGAGTAAATCAACTCTTGGGTTAAGTCCAAAGATGCAATATAAAATAGATGAAGAGGAAAGAGAAACGTCCGAGTTACAACGTTTTCAACAAGAAACAATGTCAGGAACAACAAACCAGTTCACAAAATTGATCATGAGAAAGCTTAAAAACAAAGTCAGTTCTCAGCAAAATCAGATATACTAATAGCAGTTTTCACTTGCTTACTACTAAAGAGTGGCATGCATTTCAGAAAGCCGTTCACAATACATACAGTAAACAAAGACGAGTGGCAAAAGAAGGTACCTTGTCCAGATAAAGACCAATAGCGCAGTACAGAATAGAGTCGAGCAGCATCATCAAGAGGCAGACAAAAAAACTTACTCCAGACGATGCCTACATGAAGATTGACCAGAAGAAAAGTAAATAACACAAGGAAAAATAACCTTAGCAAGTTGCCACAGAAATATCTACCTACCAGCCATATATTGCTCCAACGAAGTCCAACATGTGCACGCTCGTAATCAGCAAAGTTGATTGATCCAAGAGCAAATGCAGTAGGTGAAAGCAAAGAAGCAACAACTTTCAATACCCTACAAGTCCAACCGTTAATTTTACATTAATGTATTCTACACTAATTTTTTGTGGCCAAGACAAGCATAACTTTTCCTTATCCATAAAACAGCCATCACGAAAATAGAAGAGAAGCAACAGAGGATAAACATACGTGGACACAGATTCATCGTTAACAGTGTAATAAGGGAAGAAGGCTCCGAGAAAGGCCAGAGTCCCAACTGCGACAGCTGTCTTAGCTCGAGTGAAAAATGTTGATATTAGAAATGAGAGCATGATTGCGCTGACCCCAAATAGAAAGAAGTATGTGAAGACTAATGTCGTATCACTATACTTAAAGAGACTTCCCATCGTACAAGCTGTAATAACCCCGGCGCATAATGCGAACTGCAGAACAAAGTCATGTTAGAAAAGAAACAAACAAAAAAATACGATAAACTAAAATCATTTGCATTATCGAAAGAAATAAAATATTAGTCTGCTATTTCCAGCTGAATTCAATATTGTAAAACAACAGAAAACGCTACTGAATTCTAACTTGTGGTTTGATCGTAGCCAAGAGAAGAGGCAAGCAAAAGTTCACTAATCAAATTTGAAGCCAGAAAACCTACCTGCAATGCATAAGTGATAAACCACGACAAATGGAAAATCTCATCCTGTAAGCCCATCATGTAAAGTCCTTCTCTTATTTTCTGTTCCTGCAAGCTCAGAAAAAAGCTCAAGTTATTAGTGAAAGAAAACAACTTTTGGTGGAAAAGCAGCAACACATATCAGCTTTGTTCTAAGTATACGCAAAGTTTAGAACCCGAAACAACCTTCTCAAAGACAGAGTAGCTGATAAGCCGAGAGATTGGATACAGAAATCCCAGAAGGTACCTGCTCAAGAATTAAACAATCATTCGAATCATACAAAGACTCAAATATCATACATATATGCACGAGGGAAACAAAGAGCCGGTGATACATACAACAATCCCATTACGCTTTTGACAATAGATTGAAACTCATCATCAGTGTATTCACGGGTTGGAAATGGAACCATTCTTATCTTTGACGGGCTAAACAGAGTCCATGGCAGATCAAAGGGTAAAGCTGAACCAACAGATGAATGTGCTAATGGCAAGTCTCTGTTTTGCTGAGAAGCAAATATAATGAAAGAGTCCACCACCTGCTGAAGCTGCAAAAAACAAGAGAGTAAATTTGTACAAGACCAATTAAACACAAGGGTTGCAAATTTGACAAGCTTCCAAAGAAAAAAAAAACAAGAGAGTAAATGGCCATACAGTCAAGAATCCACTGAAGCTGTATTGCATTGTTGGTATGGTATTAATCCCCATTTCCAGATCATTGATATAAGGTCCATTTGTGTCCATGATCGACTTAACATTAGGGAATCCTGCCAATGCCCATGTGTGGTTCAAGCGGATGCTATAATCATATAAATTAGGTCCTTGTTCATGGAATACCACTGCTCCTTTTAATTTTGGATTCGAACAATTCCTAAGAAAGTATGAGGAGGCTTTATAAGTTCAACATAGAAAACAGAAAATCATAGAAAGCTAGCTCAAGAGCATGATCATAAACAGCTATAAGACTCAGTTACTCGTCAAGATAAAATGCCTACAAAATTGGCACGTACTGATACACAATACTAAGAATCTAAATGCTGCATTATGCAAAACTATAAAAGCGAATGAAGAAACTGAAGTAGCTTTTAACATCACATTACAACAGAGGAAAGACATTAGTCTTGCTTAGTCAGTACAATCGTCAAACTTGTCCCATATGGTAACAATTAACACAAAAAAAAGACACTGCCACTATTCCAGAAATTCTAACTAAACATAGAAACATGCGCCCGACATATGCACACCAAAAATAAACTCTAAAAGCGACAAGGAGCCAGGGATGAAATTACCCTTCTTATCAGCTAGAACAAAGAACAGAACATACCTCACATCGCTGCAGACAGCATAATGCGCAGAGGTGATATAGTTTTCCAGCTCAATGTCATCTTCAAAAATTCTAGTAACCAGCTGCAAAAAAAAAAAAAGGGTTCAGTTAACCATGTGATGTGACAAATATAAACAGACAAGAAGTTAAGTTACCGGCAGTTCAGGAAACTTAAGAGACAAAATGTCGATCATGTTCTGTGTTTCATCGGTGTCAGGTGCAAAAGCTAAAAACTCCCCCTCAGCAAGCAGAAGCTCCAACACTTGAGGGAAACTGGGAGAGATACCTTCTCCCACTTGGACCAACGTATCTTTCTCTATGTTCCTGCAACAACCAAATGCACAATCCGATCACATGAGTAACGAACTTACAAGGCAGGAGACCTAGAGTGGTAATCTTACGAGTGAGCGGGGTGAATTGTGGTGTCAACACGTGTCCTCACGGCTATCAACAACAACATTACAACAGTCGGAAGCAAAATCTGTAACCACAACAAAAAAGATGAAAACTTTTAGAACAAAACTCATGCTTTCGATCAACAACTGCTAAAAATTCAATATTTGATTCAGAAACAAAGAGAAGATGAGATGATAGCTATCAGTGAAAAGTAAAGAGAGAGCAAAGACCTCGGCAGAAGTAACGAAGGGATGGCGAGTTTTGAGGAGCCAATTTTTGCGGAGCATAGCCTTTAGCTGCCTTCTCCATGTTCCCATTTTGATTCCACCAAAAAGGTCCACACTTTTTTCCTTAAATCAGAAGAGAATCCCTTGAGAGATTACGATCGAGAAAAAAGGGTGGGAATCTTCACTCACGTCAAGAAGAAAGCATACTCTTTTTTTTGTGTGTCTGGGGAAAGAAAGAAAACGATGAAAAGAGAGAGAGGTGGCGAAGACCTGGGCCTCACCTCACTGACATTTGTTTCTGCCTTCTCTTTTTCTTTTTTCCTCACCATTTCTTTACTCAATACTTATATTTTAAACCCAATATTATTTTTATATCTCTTTGTCTTCCTAATAAATAAAGTAAGTGGTTGTGGATAACTAACCCAAGTGGTCTACAAAAAGATTCTAAATTAATTCAGATAACTAGAGTTTCACCCGCACATTCGTGCGGGTATATTTTTTATTTTATAAATATATAACTAAAATTTTTTTAAATATATGATTTATATTTTAGCTTTAACTATAATTATATATAATAAGTAAATAAAGAAATACTTATTTTATAAAAATAATATTTAAATTTTTGGTAAGATCTTGTTAGATTTTTTCAACAGATTTTGTTGTATTTAAATTCATTTATTATTAATATATTTATTAATTATTAAGATATTTTAAAAATAATATATATTTGACTGGTTAATGTAACAATCAAAATATGTCAAATTAAATAATTAATGACATGGTCCAATATGACTTTTAAATAGTAGATAAATTTGGTACTTCTTTTTTAATAGAGAAGATATACATAAATATTATCAAATATATAGAGATCAATTATTAAAGCCAAAAAGAGATTGGATAAGTTTATAGGCTTAGGCGCGGATCGGATATCATGATTTTTGAAAATATTTTGTGATTTGTTTCGTATTACGGATATCTTATTTTTCGATTTGTTTTGTTTTGGAAAAATACGGATATCTAAAAAATAAATAGCTATTCTTGAATATTTACAGATATTGCATTCATCTTAATTAATAAAAATAATTTAAAAAAATTGATACAAAATTTGTTTTATAAAATATATTTTATATAAAATATAAATTAAAAGAAGAAGTGAATCTACCTATTTTGTAAATTTTGTAAACTTAGTTAACAATTATAATAACACAAAAGGTAAGAAAAACTTATAATTGTCATAATTGTTTTTTAAGTAATACTTTTATATAAGTAATAAAGTGAATAAAATTTATCAAATCATATATTAAAATAATAATTATTTAATTTATATATTTAAAACTTTAAATATAATTAAGATATATATGTATTTATATAATGTTTGATCGGAGTAGATATCCACTCTCTAAAACTTTATATTTTTTTAATATTTGTTTTGCTTCGTAAATTTATGAATATTTAAAATTTTCATAGTCAAAATAACTAATAAATCAAATCAAATTTAATGAATAAATTGCCCAATCCAATAACGAAGTAGTTATCGAAGAAAGGAGAAGTATTTACAAGTAGATTAATGTCGTATTAAGAAGACTTTGATTATTTTAAGCAATTAGTCTATGACTCCATGACGTTGTTGCCCCACCTAAGCCTTTGCGTCCGTGCCAAGTAGAGGGACGGGTCCACAGTGAAAGCCATTTTTTTACACGTGGAATTTCCTAATTGGTTTAGAGTCACGTTGCTTGACCCAGAGCTACTACTAGATTACGTAGACGCTTAAAAAACTAGTGACGTTTCTAAAGTTCGACGGACGGCTAATATTTTGTCGTCGATGTTTTGCCAGCCGCCATGGAATATTATTCTTCTCACCCATGATCGTTATTTCTTTCAATTTGACATTTAGGTTTCCTTTTTTCTAATTTTAAAAAATTTGTTCATAATGGTCAGATAAGGCAAGTTGATGCCTTCACATGTTGGTGGTGCATTTGAATCATTTTTGTTTACTTTTTCTCCAATTATTAACTTTATTGACTTTTTTCAAAATCAGAATGGTTGTTTTGTTACAAGGGGTGTGGTTTACAAGAAATTTGGACAAGAACGAAACAATTGCTAGCAAGTCAGCACAGGCATTTTATCCGTTTTGAAATCAATGATGAGATATCATAAATAAACCAAGTGTTATGTTAACTCCATTTAGTGTTTTACTTACCACATTGTTTGATTCTGTTTAGTCTCTCTTATTAACGTTCCTTCATGTATGTCTTTTTGCATGTGTCTGATTGCTTAAACTATGAACATGTAGCAGCATTTTAAACATTATCATTATCTCTCTCTTGGTCAACGCTGGGTTTTAAGATCTCTAGAGGTATCAGGAGATTCTAGGACGGTCAGTGTTTTTTTGCTACAAAGCCCTATGGATTCTAGTCAAGCCTCTTATTTAAGCTTATCACGTAGCCTACCTCTCCTCATTAACAAATGATGTCCATAGTTAGTGAGAGGTTCTTATTTTATGCTTATCATGTACTAGTCCGCCTCTCCTCATTAACAGTGATGTTGATAGTCATAGTGTCGCCTAGTCTTCGAGCATACAGTTTGGTCTGTTGATATACGTACAGTTCCCACCTTAATGGCTGAGTTCAATGCGATGAGAGAAAGTGATTACGGATGGAGAGCCTGTGTTTTATGCATCTTTGACCATCACAGTTTCCTTTGCAATCAGAACTGTGTCAGTTAGTTGTATCAAAACTAGATGTGTCTTGTTCAAAGAATTTCAAGATGGATGATTAGATCAGTGAAAATCAAGTTACCTTGTGAACAAGTTTTAAAAGCAAACTTTTATACTATAATGATAACTTTTGCCTGTTTTACATTAAATATAATGAATCTATATATTTCATACTGAAAATACTTATAAACCACTAACAAAAACCTGTACATTCCTCCTTCGGATCATTTTCACAAACAGTCTAAAGGGGAACGGCTCACTTCTCTTGTGGGAGGTAGCTGTATGTGGAACAGCTCGTCTCTGTCTTTGTCACCTATGAGAAAAGAGACACAATAATATGACTTTGGGAGGATATGTTGTAGTAGGAAACACACTGAAGTCTCTGTAGGAAAGTTATATTAAGATATATGAAAATGAATACACACCTCTGAAGTATGAGAAGAACCTGAGGGAAGGAATGGTGTCCAGAGAATAGGGTCTCCGAGAGGATCCAATGTATTGTAGCTGCTGAGTAATGGAGCAGTTAAGAGAGATGTAAGTGGGTACATGCTTTTCTGAAGAGACAAAGCAGCAGCAACACCACTGCCTAGACCAACTCCTTGACTCACATTCGGTTTCTCTATCTCCTTACCGTGACTCTTCTCAATATTGGCGATATTACGATTTGCAATCTCATCGTTTTCTCTATTGCTGCTGCTTTCTTGGATCTTCATCACTTTCTCCTCCAGGCTCTTGTAAGCAGGTGACGCAGACAGAATGCTTAAAGCAGAAGGAGTTGAGGATGGCGATGATATTTGTTTATCTTTTCTCTGAAGAACGCCAAGGTTTGGCGCTTTGTATGGCTCTGTTGCCTGGGACGTGTGTTCCAGTGTCTTAAGCTCAGTAACCGCATCTTCTACCTTTGCATCCTCTGATGCTTTTGATGAAGATTCAGGTTGACGTGCTTTGTTGACTCCCCACCACTTCATGTATCCTGTTAGATCAATCTTTCTTTCCAGACAAAAGTTACCAAGAAAGTCACCTTCTGCTCCTCTATCATCACCTGCCCCTTGTAGTTCAAGGAGAATTAAGTTATACATGTTCAAAGAAGGTTAGATAATGTAATTAGAAACTCACCATAATGAAGGTTACTGAAGTATTCAGGTCCAGGCATCCGACTGGTTGATGCTTCCCATCGGCTGGTCAGAAAATGCAGAATAGTTTGAAAACAGCAGAAGGACATCAGGCATGAATGTATTTGTGACAGAGATTGGTTTTAAAAGGACAAAAACTAAAGAGGGCTACAGTTAAATTACAGGAGGTCCAATAACTCTGAAAGATAGATTGGCCATATATCTATACCTAAGAGTAGCATATAAACACTTTTTATAAAATTAGCAAAAGATAGTCTACAATGTGTGGATAAACCAAACTGTGATGATCCATAATGAGTCACTAAAACTATTTTCCTTATAAGCACTATCAAATGCATACAGATAACCACTCTTGATTCAGATGTTCTACAGACAAATAATAGAAACAGGGGTGTGAGAGTTGGTGAAGTTTTACCTTTGAAGGCCACGATATTTGGCTATTCCCCTCGAGAAAGCGCTGCTTTTTCTGCCAAATGTATATCTAAATAGGATAAGTAATATATAGTTCCTAAAAGAAAAAAAAGTACATACGCACCTACGTAGAGATGCAAGGTATTCTTCCCTTGAGAGGTTTTGCATTTCTTCTAAATCCCTGCTGTAATCAGTCACCTACGAGAATGAAATAAGTAAGTACACACATGTATATAAAACAAGGAAAACTGCTAAAGGGTGGCCTAAAACATGAGTAACCATCCTTCTTCCACATATGCCTATAAATTGATGAGTGCAATGATTAGGGATGAAGAGCTTAAACCATAGAAACCTCACCGGAAAATTGATAAGTGTCCCAGGTCCCCAGTATTTCAAGGCAGCAAGGTCGTAAGCTCTAGCAGCAGCCTCTTCATCATCATATGCTCCTGACAAGTACATTAAGCAAAGGTTTTTAGTAAATCCTGATAGTTACCAAAGGTGTCCGGATATACAAAAACGCAACCAATACATTCAAAGCTTATATCTTACCTAGATAAACTGGTGAGCGGCGAAATGTGCATCAACGATGAAAATATGTACCAAGGGAAACAAAGAGAAGAGATCAGCTTTGTCGGATTGCCGAGAGAAATGTTGTCGGAAAGTGGAGAGAAAAGAAGAAACCTTGTTTGCCCTTCTTGTTCTGGTTTTGGTTCCATGTACTCTTATCCCAAAGGTGAGCTTCATAACGACCTGTCCATCTATGCCTATACTCAAAAAAAAAAAAAGAAATTTAAGAAACAATACGCATCATACAGAGATAAGGCAATAAAGACATAAAGATAAGAACATAATAATATCTGTTGTGATCTAAACAACCTCCAATTAACCGATTCCAGATAACTCAGCTCCACACACCAAACACGAATGAAACAACAATGACACGTTCACTCATATCCTAAGATTCAATACGAAATTCAAAAAATCAAATTCAGATTAGAAGGCACACAATCACAGTATACCTGGTGACTCCACGGTAAATGGAACTTCTTTTGCCAGCTGTACAGGGCGGCATTTTACTGATACGCTCCTTAGCTGTGCAGCCTCTCTCCTTCTTCGCCTTCTTAAAACTTCTATACAGTAACATCTGATCACTCGCCGACACATTCTCCGAGCTCTCTCCTCCTCCCGCCTCTGTCTTAGGCCCCTGATCCGACGACGACACCGACGCCATGATCAGAACCCCCTCCAATCAAAAACACAAACCCTAGGAAAGAGAAACCAAAATGCCCACTGTGTGTGCAAAGCTCAAAACCGATGCTGTAGAAGCAAAGAGAGAGAGAGAGTGAAAGAAGAAAGAAAGTGATGGCTTCTAGTTCTAGTGTAATAACAACGGTAAGAAATTAAAATTACGGACTTGGATTTACCATTACGTCCCGATTTTGGATAACAACCGTAACGGCTATGAACGGAGACGAGGGTTGTTTCGTCATTTAGTACACTATGTTTTCTTTCTTTCTTTTGTTTTCGATGATGACGTGTACTGATGATATCCCCACGTGTACATGATCTGTTTCTTTTTTGGTACTGACATTGTTAATGTGGGAGTGTTTCCCGACAATTAGCCTCGTTCAAGGAATATTCTTTGTTACGGTACACCTCAAAATTCAATGTTGTATGTTTTTTTTTTTTTTGGTTTGGTTCATCAACTTAGCTTATATAGTTTTTGCCGAATAATTTAAATTTGATTCTTCATATTTTCTACCGTTGTAATGTCTTACACAACGAATCTTCTCCATTATATAAAATCATGATTCAAATTTTCAAAATGACTGGTTGAGTGTATTATAGTGATAGAGAAGAAGATAAGTATTAGTATAGAATATCGGTTGGTTTAAGATTGGTTTATTATCGATTTAAGTCTCCTTTAGTTTAACCGGTACTATATATATATATATATATATGTGTATCTGGATACATTGTACAGAGTAAACAGAATAACAAACTTTTCTTTCCCTTTTCATCATCTCTTCTCCTTAGCTCAAGATCTATTTTCATCTTCTCTTTGCTTGATTTGAATCTTAATATGGTATCAGAGCAAATCATCTTCCGCATTGATCTTTGAGCTTTTACTTCTCGTTCTCATGAGTATTCCGTTGCTCTCTCTTTCGCAATTTTTCCTCAATTGTGTTCGTGCGATTAGCGAGATCTGCGTCGGGATTTTGCTTTGTTGTTTGTTCGTGCTTGGGATTGTTGATTTCGCGTCTTCTTGATCGATTGATTTCATCGTTTTCTTTCGCTTCGATTTGAATCGAGCTTTCTGGTTCATCCATTGCGACTTCCTCTTCTCTGATTCGAACTTCATCTGATTATCATCGTTCTGCGTCTGATCTTTATGAGAATCCCTATTATCTTCATCATAATGATCATGCTGGTTTAGTTCTTATTACAGATCGGCTAACAACAGCTTCTGATTTTCATTCTTGGAGACGATCTATTCGGATGGCGTTGAATGTTCATAATAAACTCGGCTTCATCGATGGTACAATCACTAAACCTTCTCTTACTCATCGCGATTATGGAGCATGGTCTCGTTGCAATGATATTGTAGCGACTTGGTTGATGAATTCGGTTTCCAAGAAAATAGGTCATAGTTTGTTGTTTATCTCTACGGCTGAAGTAATCTGGAATAATCTAGTAACTAGGTTTAAGCAGGATGATGCACCTAGGGTCTATGATATTGAGCTGAGGTTAAGCAAAATAGAGCAAGGATCTATGGATGTGTCTACTTACTATACAGAACTTGTTACTCTGTGGGAAGAACATCGCAATTTTGTGAAGATTCATGTATGTACTTGTGGCAAATGTGAGTGTGATGCTGCTTCTTTATGGGAGAATCTGCAGCATAGAAGTCGGGTTACTAAGTTTTTGATGGGGTTGAATGAGTCTTATGAGCATACAAGACGTCACATATTGATGTTGAAGCCTATACCAAAGATTGAAGAGGCGTTTAACATTGTGACTCAAGATGAGAGACAACGTTCACTACGTCCTGCTATTGCGGTTAATAATGTGGCATTTCAGACGGTTGCTAATCTTGTAGTGAATCAAGATTATGCATATGTTGCTGCTTATAATGCAGGGAGAGCTTATCAGAGGCCTATGTGTACTCATTGTGGAAAAGCTGGTCATACAGTTCAAAAGTGCTTCAAACTCCACGGTTTTCATCCTGGTTATAAGTCATATGGTTCTCAGTCTTCGTATAACAAGAATCAGTCTCAACATCAGAATTCACAAGCTCAACCTAAACCTCAGGAACAACAGGTTTCAGCAACTTTGGTGAATAATGTGGTTGCTGCTGTTTCTGTTGATCCAGACTCTCGTCAACTCTCTACATTGCCACCTGTCTCTCCGCATTTGACTAGTGGTGGAATGAATTTGAACCTGCAGAGTTTTACTTCTCAGCAGATACAGAGCTTGATTACTCAATTTAATGCTCATGTTCGAGTTTCAGAGCCACAAGTTTCTCCTTCATGTGCTTATCGTTCCCGTGCCACAATCACTAAACATGGTATTATGGAACCCAATTCTACTTCTGGTATCATTCCTTTTCCCTCTATCAATCTCACATTTGAAAATCATTCTCTTCATTATCAACATCATTGTCTCTCTAGCCTCCAAAATTTACTTCCAAATGATGCTTGGATCATTGATAGTGGGGCTTCTAGTCATGTTTGTTCTGATTTAGGAATGTTTGATAGTTATGTACCAGTATCCTCAGTCACAGTAACTCTTCCTAATGGAGTTTTGTTCCTATTACTCACACAGACATTATTAAAATTACTGAGTCTTTGGTTTTGTATGATGTGTTAAGTAGTTTAATACGTTCATTGCAATGTGCTGCTCATTTCTTTCCCAATGGATGCTTGATTAAGGAACTTTCTCGGAGCTCGATGATTGGGAAGGGTAGCCTTTTCAACAATCTTTACATTCTTGATGCTCCTATTTCTACTACTCATGTTACACTTGTTTTCTGTGGATTTGTATCAACTGATAGTTCTGTTTGGCATCATCGTTTAGGTCATCCGTCTTCAAGTGTTTTTCAAAAGATTTCATCGTCACTTCCACCATACAAGAATGTTGAATCTGAAGCTTCTCCTTGTCATGTCTATTCTTTAGCAAAACAAAGACGTCTAGCATATGTGTCTCATAATAATTTGGCTCCTAAAGCTTTTGATTTGATTCATTTGGATATTTAGGGTCTTTTCAGTGTTGAGTCTGTTGAAGGATACTGTTATCTACTTACCATAGTCGATGATTGTACTAGGGTGATTTGGATTTACATGTTAAGAAATAAAAAGACGTTTCTGTTATCTTTCCATTATTTCTGCAACATATTTTGACAAGTATAATGCCAAAGTTAAAGCTATACATATTGATAATGCTCCACAGTTGGCTTTTCCTGATATCTTTAAACAACATGGTATGTTCCATTACTTCTCTTGTGCATATACTCCACAACAAAATTCTGTTGTTGAACGGAAACATCAACATCTATTAAATGTTGCTCATGCTTTGTTGTTTCAATCTAATGTTCCTCTACCCTATTGGAGTGATTGCATTATGACTGCAGTGTTCCTGATCAATAGAATGCCTTCACCTTTGTTAGATAACATGACTCCACTTGAAAAGTTGATTGGTAAGCTTCATGATTACACATTGCTTCGTTCTTTTGGTTGCTTATGTTTTGCTTCTACTAATACTAAGGATAGAAATAAATTTAGTCCTAGATATTTTCCCTGTGTTTTTCTTGGTTATCCATCTGGCTTTAAAGGTTACAAAGTTTTGGATTTAGAATCCCATTCTGTGACGATTACTCGCAATGTTGTTTTCAAAGAGAAAGTGTTTCCTTTTAAACAAGTGATTTTCTTTCAAAATCTGTTAGACATGTTTCCAAATACTATTTTACCTATGCCGGTTCCATTACACACTACAAAAAAATTCTACATTCATAGCACATTACGATAACTCATTTTACTGATTTGTTATTGTAGATGATTTAAAAAATTCCGTATTATATAATAGCATTAGATAAGCTATGATAGCATAAATGCTATGATATCAGTAAGCGGAAACTAATTTCGCCAATACTTGAATAAAAGTTAGGCAAACACTAAACGGATAATTGATAACTCTTTTCAATATTTAAGTTAAAAAAAATTGTCCTTGACCAATAGGAGAAGCCAATTCTTAGTGATCTCCATCGTTGATAGATTTCAATCTAATGGATGTAATTAATTCACTTATTTTTCATTATCTTTTTCTATTCTTTCTCACGACCTTTGCAATCTCTTTTCCATAGATCTCAAACTAAGCTTCTCCTTCAACCCTTTCACAACAGTGACTCGTCACAACCACAACCATCGCTCGTCACCACCATCACTCGTCACCACCACCGCCGTCTGACACCACCACCACCACCACCACCACGATTTGATCTCTCTCTCTATCTCTCTGCATCTCTTTCTTTCTCTCTATCTCTCTGCATCTCTTTCTTTCTCTCTCTCTCACGACGGTTAGTTTGTCTTAGAGTTGGAGGAAGCAAGGCGTGCGACGGAGACCAAGTGAAGTTGTGGCCACTGGCTATGGTTGTCCGGCGGAGACCAAGAAAAGTGATGGAACATAGAGAAGAGATAGATCTCAGAGATCCAGAGAAAGAAGAATACGTAATGGCCGGTCTCTAGCTCGTTCCCGTCCTCACCAGAAGCAGCACCACCACCGATGCGCTTGCCATCACCAATACGGTGGTTGAAGAATACCTTGACAGGACAGTGGTAGAAGACCCGTGGAAGAAGAAGAGAAGATGGCGGCTGGAGTTTTTTTTAGGTTTAGTTTTTTTTTTAGGTTTGGTTTAGTGTAAACCAAATTGGAGAAATTGTGGTGGTTTGACTTAGTTTTAATTTAAGGTTTGTTTTTGTAAACCAGTATTTATTTGTAAACCAATTTGAATTTATAAATAAAATTTATTTATTTTAAATTATAAAACAACTTTTAATTTAATTGTCAATTATTTTATATTTTATATTTAATTCTTATTATTTTAGATTTGCAGTAGAACCTATCATAGTAAGTAGTGTTATAGTTAACTTAATAATATCATTCAAGTATTGCTATTGTATCTGCACATTTCGTAGCTTTTAAAAAAATGCTATCGTAGAGGGGATATCTATGATGACTGTCGTTGACATAGCATTAGCAGTTTCGCTATAAAAGCCCTATCATAGCGTTTATCGTGTGCTAAGAATGCGTATATTTCTTGTAGTGACACTTTGTTGAAACTATGCCTTTGCATTTTGATGGTGAGTCTTCTATGTCATCTGATTCTATTTCCTCATCACATACTAGTCATAACATAGAACCTGAAGAGGAAGTTATTGAGGATATTGTGACAGAACAATCTCATGTTTCTAGACCTAAACGGACTACTAGAACTCCTGCTTATTTGTCTCAGTATCATTGTTCTCTTGTTCCTCCTATCATTAGCTCTTCTCTTTGTTTACCTTGTTCATCAGTTTCTTCTCAGAACCATCATTGTTTCTTAATTCCTCCTTCTTCTTTCATCTCTCATCCATTTTCTGGAACATCTAAAACACCTTATCCCATTTCTTCTGTGGTTTCTTATGATCGACTTAATCCTATATTCCAGGCTTCTGTCCTTGCTTATTCATCAGAAACTGAACCTAAAACATTTTCTCAAGCCATGAAATCTGATAAATGGAAGCAGGCTGTGAATGTGGAACTTGTGGCTATGGAACAAAATGGTACATGGGAAATTGTTGCTCTGTCTGAGGGGAAGAATGTTGTGGGTTGTAAATGGATTTTCACTATCAAGTTTAATGCAGATGGGACTGTTAAGCGATATAAGGGACGTTTGGTTGCTCAAGGTTTTACTCAGCAAGAAGGAGTAGGTTATCTTGAGACATTTTCACCAGTTACTAAACTTACAAGTGTGAAGTTATTGCTTAGTTTAGCAGCTATCAAAGGTTGGAGTCTTACTCAGATGGATGTATCTAACGCTTTTCTCCATGGAGATCTTGATGAGGAGATATACATGCGACTTCCTCAAGGTTATACATCTCCTGAAGGTGTTGAGTTGCCACCCAATCCGGTTTGCAGGTTAAGGAAGTCAATATATGGTGTTAAACAAGCTTCTCGTCATTGGTATAAACGGCTATCCTCAGTCCTTTTGGGAGCTAATTACGTTTAGTCTCCAGCTGATAATACTCTGTTTGTGAAGAAGACCAATGCTTCCTTTGTGGCTATATTAGTATACGTGGATGATATACTGATTGCGAGTGATAATGATATAGCTGTTGCAGAGATCAAAGAGTTACTGCATTCTGAATTCAAGATCAAGGATCTTGGTCCTGCTATATTCTTTCTTGGTCTGGAGATTTCTCGGTCTTCATCTGGGATCTCTGTTTGTCAGAGAAAGTATACCTTGAATTTGTTGGAAGACTCAGGCCTTCTTGGTTGTAAACCAACTTCCGTACTAATGGATCCTTCTATGCATCTTACTACGGGTATAAGTTCTCTTTTGCCTTCTCCTACGGTTTACAGAGAACTCATTGGTCGGTTGTTGTATCTTACTATCACGAGACCAGATATTACATTTGATGTTCATCAATTGAGTCAGTTTTTATCAGCTCCAACTGATATACATTTGCAAGCTGCTCACAAGGTGCTTCGGTATCTCAAGACAAATCATGGTCAAGGAGTGATGTATTCAGCATCTGCAGAGTTGTGTTTGAATGCATTTGCTGATGCAGATTGGGTCACCTGTAAGGAAACTCGTCGTTCCATAACAAGTTTCTGTGTTTATCTTGGATCATCTTTGATCTGTTGGAAGTCTAAGAAGCAAGAAGTGGTGAGTCGAAGTAGTACTGAAGCGGAATATAGAAGCCTTGCTATGGTTACTTGTGAGTTGATTTGGTTGCAGCAACTTCTTACTGATCTTCATGTCAAGATTACAGGACCAGCGAAGTTGTATTGTGACAATAAATCGGCTCTACATATAGCTACTAATCCGGTTTTTCATGAACGCACTAAGTACATTGAGATCGACTGTCACACGGTTCGTGATCAGATCAAGGCATGACGTCTCAGAACATGACGGGAATCAACTCGCTGACATTCTAACTAAGCCTCTACACCCTGGACCATTACACTGCTTTCACGTTTATCATTGTCAAGTCTTTATCAGAGGATAAAGACTTGAAGAGGGGGTACTAATATAGAATATCGGTTGATTTAAGATTGGTTTATTATCGGTTTAAGTCTCCTTTAGATTAACCGGTAGTATATATATGTATCTGGATACATTGTATAGAGTAACGAGAATAACAAATTTTTCTTTCCATTTTCATTATCTCTTCTTCTTAGCTCAAGATCTATCTTCATCTTCTCTTTGCTTGATTCGAATCTTAATAATAAGTTTACAAAACAAATTACAATGTGCCTTCGTGTTTATGAGCTTGACTTATGAGCTTTACTCAGGTCACCGTCTTTGTTTCTCGGTGATTCTACGGGTATTACCAGCAACGCACAATAAAATGAAATGTGATTCTTACGTTAGTGACACCAAACTAACTTAGCTTATGTAACTTTATATTCAAATTCATATTTATCACACCCAATTTTTTGGCCTACTAGAGGTTCAAACTCGAACCCTGCACTTCTTTCACAAAAGGAAATGAAATAATGTCACGGTACATTTGAGTTGATGGTTAAATATCAGCATCACTCATCGATTACAGAACCTGCAACTCATTTCACAATTTACAAAACTTGTTCTGAACCCCCCCCCCCCCCC